CTAGTGCTTCATATTAAATATGACAGATTTTTTACTACACTTTCGAAGAACGCATGAGGTATGTATCCAAAGCTCTAAAGCCAAATTCTGACCGGATAATTACTGTAAGCATTTTACCATCTTTTAAAATTTTTTTCAATTCAATCAGAAGAAAAACCTACATATTTATTTACATATGGAAATTTTAAGTCCGTATGATCATTGCGGTTCAGACACGAATTACGAGATGTGTAAGTATAGCCTCTACGAATGTACTTGTAAATCGGCTGCAATTATACATACATAACTTTAATTTGAAAACATGTGAACTTTAAACTAATGAAAATAATAAAAAATTTAGGAGTGCTCAGTTATTTTTTTCTGTTCATTCTAACAAAAAACCAAAGAAATCTCAAAAAAGTAATCAGTTTGAACTTCCTGGGGTAGGATCTCTCTTAACAACTAAAACTAGACAGCAATCAGTTTTTCACAAAAGTAAAGAGGGATAATGTTATTTACAAGAAATTTCCGTCTTACCTTTCCCAATTTGGTTGGAGAAAAATCAGCTTCGGTGGCCATTCCTCGTTTTTGGACCTGTATACTCAGGACTAAGTTTTACGATAGCAAAGATGCCTTTTTTAGTTAAGCTTTATGCATACATATAAAATTCAAACGAAATCTGAGATTTTATTTACTAATGGTGATGGTGATTTCATTTCTTCCAAAAAATGTTGCCCTTTCACGGTGCAAAATGTATTACATGTTACACTCAACCCAGTAAAATCGCACGTTTTTGTTTTCTGGTCCTTGCCTGGCTCACGCATTTCATAATATTGTCGCTTTAAGCAACCATCTGGTTTTCAGGGCAACCTTTTCCACTGAAAAAGCTTAAAAGGGCAGATAATGGGCCATTATTGCCTTATAAGAATATGAACATTAAGGAAACGTACACAATATTTTCAAATCGTTTGCCTTCATTTTAGATTCGAACATGAAAAGAGAAAGGGGCGATCAAAAGGCAACATTCTTTGTTAAAAACGAAAACACTTTAAGTCTAATAAGGATATTCAAGACATCAGCTTCAAATTAAACTTTGTACTTAGCAGAGAAAATATACCTTCTGAGTGACCTACTGAGGGCCGCAGCACTGTTAGAATATGCAATTCACAAAATTATTATATTTCTGAAAATCTGAACCCGAAATTTCCAACTTGAAACCATTTCTGCTTGACTTTGGAGATTAAACAATTCTTGTCTCCGATGTTTGCTGAGCAATTCTACCAAGAACATTATAACAGGGGCGCCCATGAAGGGATTTGGGGATGCACTCAAATGCACCTTGCTGTGTACTTCCATCGCTTGCACAATTTAAGTGACGAATTCAGTGCGTAGAAAAGTGTAAAATCGAAACAAAAACGTCTAATCGTCTATCCGGATATTCGAATATGTGAACAAACGTGTCCGAATATCCAGATATCCTAACAGCGTACAGGTATCCGGAAATTCGAATCTAAAAACCACAATGCAATTAAAACAAGTTTTATCTAAAATGTAATATTTTCTGGTAGAGTTTGAAGGTTCAAAATGCAATGATTTGTCAAAATTGAAATACATTCGTTTTCTATATGTTTACTAATGTACACTAGGGTGATTCAAAACGAAAACATTTTCGAATTTGGAAAGAATTTCGAAGAAAAGTTTTATCTTAAAAATTCAGCTTATTTTACCAAGATTTAGGGTGCTCCAAAACTGTTTTTTATTTTTCGGAAACTACAGATGTATTTTCATAAAATCTCGGACGGACGGACGGACAGACAGTCACCGCTTAATCGTTTTTTCTTTTCATTCATTTATATATACATTTGTCTATATCTAACTGGATTAGTGTTGCCTGTTACAAACAACCGTTATGTGAACAAAGTTATAATACCCTTGTGCACAAATGCGCTCGAGTATAAAAATCACCAGATGAACATCACTCATACGCCATGTTGAATCCAAATGTTTTCCTAGTCATTGCAAACCTTAGTAGTATAATAATGATATCTTGGCGCTTACACCTTTGCTAAGTGCTTGGCCAAGCTTCTCCTCCGATTTATTTTTATTTTTTGGCTGTGAGGAAAGGGTTTAAAATGCCTTCGCACCATATAAATTGAGGCCGTGGGAGCTTAGCCAGTCTTGTGTGCGCAACATGACTTGCGTTAGCTTTCGTTGTGCTTCCCTTGCTGCAACATTATCTGCATATCTCAATAAGAAGACATCTTCCGACATTTCTATTCTCAAAATCTCATCGTAATTAATGTTTCAGAAGTCTGGACCTAAAATAGATCCTTGAGCTGAACCTGATGTTATGTTCATCTCTTTGAGGCCGCCAATTTGTGATATGTGTCTTGAAGTTATTACACAAATGTATGGACCTACCGCTTTACGCCGCCTCCAAACCGCAAATGGATTTTGTGAACAGCCTTTTCAGGGCAGGAATGCACTCGGAGGTTTGCGATTGCCTGCCGAGGGGCGAACGCTGTTAAGAAATACAACTTTTTTCTAAAACATTTGTTTTTATGTTTCTGTGAAGCTCATTTATAAGGTTTATCTAACGGTTTTTAACTTTACTGCTACTAGCAACATTTGCAGTGACTAGGAAAACACTTCAGTATGGCATATGGGTAAAGTGACCAATTATTTTTTACATCAGAGCGGGATGCCTGCGGAATTTTGTAAACAAATCGTATTGGTATTTCATTACTTTTTTTGTTATTATTTGAATATGTATTCGGTGCATCTAGTGTTTGCAAAAGAGGGACAGTTTTTCTCTCACTGGGGACAGCGGAACTGACGGCTTCAAAGCGGGACGTATGGTCACGTTACGTATGAGTAATATTTATGTGGTGATTTTTTATTCCGTCTTTTAAAGTACAAAACCGCGTATCACGAAAATGCAAAACCTCGTATTTGAGGTTGCCAAGATTTTGTAGTAGAGAGTAAAGCTAGTCCTATTTCAAAACGGTTGTCTCTTTTATCCCTAATTATCTCTTCTTCTTAAATCTAATTATCGATATTTAAGTAAGTAAAGAACTAATATTTTAAAACTTGTCCAAATTTAGTGCGGCTATAATTTTTTCGACTACTGTACATAAAAGTTGACTATGATTACTCGGCCTTGCTATCATAGTAGCACAATGCCAGTAATATATGACTAGTGAGAAATATCAGTATGTTTCTTTTAAATATTTTGTAAATTATATTTCATGGTGAGTGGTTTGAAAATTTATTGAAAAATTTGATTACAGACACCGAGACAGGTGAAACTACATAAATAAAAGCTTGTAAAAAGCTGACTTTGCTTTCTTGTAAATTTGGAACAAACTTTTTTTTTCAAGTCATGAAAGGAGCTTTTACGATATTTTATTCTATTACCGCTAAATGAGGGGAAAAATGTCATAGATTTGGGAGTTCTTAGTCATCAATCTCAATGTCTCATTTTTTTATTGAACTCGAAAATTCTTCTTTCCAACAGCTTCTGAGCCAAAAATTGTTTGGTCCGCGTGCTCTGGTCAAAAATTGTTTATGAATAATTTGAGAAGTGCGCAATTTTCTTGATTATCGTATATTTTTAACCACCTTAATGATTTTTACCGTTATGTCCTAAAATTTCAATACGCTGCAAATACTCTAACGAAAGTCGGAGAATCGATCGCCCTAATGCATGCCTATTAACTGCATACGCAGGTTATGAACCTCTCTGCTTGTTGGCCATGCACTGGACTTCTATCTACCACTTTATAGGCACGAATTGTGAGAAGGCATGTCAGAGTGTCAACCGCCGAAAAGCCGTATGCGTGGGTGTAATACAAATTGATGTGAATTGTAGGCAAAAAATACTACGAATATGAATGAGTATGTATGCACGAGCGGATGTGTGTGTGCGTGTATCATGTGGATGTGTATTAGTGATGTTAATTTTTAAGATTTTTCCGATCCCGGGAATTTCGGGATGTCGTTATCCCGGGATTTAAACATTAATTACTTTTCAACAACTAAACAAATTGCTTCTGCATTGTTTGAGAAGCTCTCCTACCATAAAATAAATAATAAATAAATGAGGTTGAAACTTACTTTTTTATTTAAAGTGGCATTTTTATTTTGTCTCTTTAACGTCAGGATTTGTTGATAAAGTTAAGAGGACGAGATTCGAGGATGTTATCGGTTTTATATAAGTCCTTAATATATAATTGTTTCAAAAACAAATATTGTGAAATTTCAAGGACAAAATTTTAAAATTACATTTTCAATAATTACCAGTCTTTCTGCACCAAAAACTTGAATCTGTTTAAATCCTACAGGATTTCATCTTTAATTAGATACCCATACATTTCTCTGAATTTCTGACGTCAGAGTGAAAAACTAAAAATGCAATTTTACTATATTTGGCACATGGTCTCGCGAATATATTGATATTTGTGTTTAAAATTTACTATCGTACGGTGTTATATGCATAATGAGTTAGACATTTATAAAAAAATATTACTTATTAAATAAAAAAAAGTAATATAATTTGCTATTATTGCCATCAGTGCAAATTACAAAACCCGAAAATCCCGGTATTGTTTGCCAAAAATCCCGGAACTTTTAGGACCTCAAACCCGGGACTAGCACTCCTAGTGTGTATATTTGCGCCTACACATTGCCGCTACTATAACGCCTCATGGAGACGTCAAAGTAAAGCTCAATTGTCGAGTGTTTCGGCTTGCTCCCAAACTACCAACACTAAACACTAAATACGCGACGATGAGAACCAGTTTTCATTGCTGTTGTTGCTTTTTGTTGCTTTTTCTTGTTTGTGAATAGAACGAGAAGAGCTTTTCACATTATAACATTCTACAACCGATGATTGTTGTGCATGTGTACACGTATGTGTGTGTGTGTGTGTGTGTGTGTGTGTGAACGTTAACATCCCGAACGAAGCAGCCGTTGAAAACTCTACGCAGGAATACACAGGGCAGAAAATTGCAGTCTAGTTTCGTCGCGATTGCAGTGTGGATCGATAATAGAACCAAATTGGCAGTGGTGGTGGATGTGAAAATGTGAAAATTATGAAAAAATCATTTGGTAGAAAATCCTTCATATCCAGCAATAGCAAATGCATACTATTGTTAGTTTTACAATGTTAATTTATAAAGGATGCAAGATTTAAAGTGTTTGAAACGTGAAAAATGGAAAAAGCACTGCTGCGTATACTAAATATAATTTTTTTTTTCTATGGGTATCACAGCAGTAGTGAGCAGCGAAGGACATGAAAAGTGGCACTTATAATAGGCGTTTGTGTGTGTATTTTGCATGGCTGTGAAGGAATTTCATAGCATAAAATCAATGGAAATTTTCTTAAATCAAGTGTAAATGTGATTTAAGGAAAAATTAAGAGTTTTTTAGCTTATAGTTGAAATGAATATGCACAGTATATGTTGCATGGGAATGCTTAAAAGTGTAGCGAAAAAATGGGTTCTTCAACTTTTTCACAAAATTTAGTATGTACATGCACATAGATTGAGGGCCCTAAAAAAGATTGCGAACGAAATGTGGCATTGAGCGGTAAGGGTAGGTAGTTGAGCTTTCTACGCATCTCTGCGACCCTCAAAGCCCTTGCCAATGGATTGCTCGTCGTTTAACCTAAAAACAACAAACAGTAGTGGCACTTGAGTGGTCATAGCCGTGGCCACTGTGTTTGCGGCGGCAGCAGCTTTGTACATACATATGTATATATGTTTGTACAATATATACTTATATATACATATATATGAAGTATGTAGAACAAATCCAGTGAAATTAGTTTGAAAAAAAAGGAGCTAAAGGTTTACCTGTGCCTACTGATAAACTTGATAAATGAATGAAAGCGATAAAGTGTGCTTTAACTTAAGTAACGGTAATACGGTAATATATAAAATTTTTTAATAATTTTTATTACAGAAAATAACACAGATATTCTGTAAAATGATTTTGGCTAAGTGTAACAAATTAACTACTTATGTGTGTGGACAAATTCTATGTGAGACGAGCATATTAATAGCATAAATCAAATGCAAAGCCAGAGAAAAAACCAAAACAATCAAATAGCCAAACAACCTAAAAAATAAAAATATAATAACAAACCAATCAACTACGTAACACCGACCAACCGTCCGCTTCTATTTCGAAAATTACTTAAAAAGTGTAAAAAAAACGTAGCATACTTATTAGCGCTGTCCGCTTCACTTCACCATCGCGTTCATATAAACAACTAATAAAACAAGGATATCATTAAAAAAACCAAACGCTATATAGCCAGAGAGAGAAAGAGAGAGCGACTTTCGCGCTGTGTATACAAAAAGCGGTGAGAAAAGCTTTTAAAAGCTTTCCTAAAAAACAGAAAAAAATTAAATGAATAGAAATAAGCACACTCGTAGGCGGAAGTGGAGTCAAGTGGGGGAATTCGTGAACAAATAGAGAGTGGATAGAAGAGCGTAAATACAATTCAATGAAACTTACACGCGATTTAAATACACGTAAGAAACATTTATAGTGAGTGCTACACACACACACGCAGCTTCACTTCAACGTCAGCAGCACATGTGTTTTTACAAACATACGTAGAGGTACTCAAGTTGTTATGTATGTATGTACGTCTCCGAGAGATTGTCATCAAATGCAAAGTGACTTCAAGGATAAACGACAGCGATACGCAAGATTCCACAAACGAAGTGTAAAAATTCAACAAACTTGAAATTATAACTGGTGAAAACGAATGTATGCATGCATGTACGCCAAACACACATACATATGTACATATGTATCTAGAAGCGTAAAAGTATTATAATCGTATCAAGGACGTCAGGAATGCAAGCTCAAAGCATAAATAATGCATAAGCGCACAATGCGCTTAATATAAGTAGAACATAAACAACAACAACGTGAGCATAGAGTGTATCCCTAAACAAAAAAGCATTGTGTGCTTTTTGGCGTAGAAGCAGATATTTCCGCGCTGTGCTCACATACTTGCAGGCGCAAATTTTCGTCGAACATATCAAAAAGGAAAACTTCTTTAAACACCTAAAGATATAAAACTGAAAAAAGCAAAAGCAACACTAGCGCCAAAAAATATGCAAAACTAGTGCTAAGCTACGACACTACCAGGCAGAATGTCGCTCGGCGAGCAAAATGAGCTGCTGAGCAAATGCAATGCATATGCAATGCGTGCCGCTAGTTACCTCTCTAACGGCGCTGCAACATGCAGTAGCAGCAGCAACAGCAGCAGCAACAGCAACAGCAACAGTAGCTGTAGTAGCAGCAATTGCTGCAGTAATCGGAACGATCCCCATAGCTGCTGCAGCAACATTGGCCAACAGTCAACAACTATCGAACAAAAACTGCCACTTCGGCAAATGGTTCGCCAGCGCAATGATCGCAACAACAACAACACCAGCAACAGCAACAGCAACAATAACAATACACCAGTCAGCAAAAAATTTAAATTCAACACAAATGGTGGTATCAGCAATCGGCTTGAAGGTTGTCGCACAACTAACCTTGCCTCTGTACCGCTATATTCCCCCCGTTGTGGACGACTGAAACCACGTCGAAAGTCCCCGCTGCAGATGCTGCTGCAGCTCCTGACCATAAATGTACCCGCCTCGGTGTATGCTTTCACCGGATTAGTGCTGTTATGTTCAGCGCTTTTGTCGCCATGCAACGCCTTTCAACTGGATGGCTCACAAAATTCGTTCGCCCAATTTCGCAAATGGTATACGGGACTCAATGGTTCATTAGAGCTGGAGTTTAAGACTGAACAGCCCAATGGTTTGGTGCTTTACACCGATGATGGTGGCACTTATGATTTCTTTGAGCTCAAATTGGTCGAAGGTGCATTGCGTTTGCGTTATAATTTGGGTGGTGGTGCGCATATCATAACTGTGGGACGAGAGTTGCATGATGGGCATTGGCATAAAGTGCAGGTGAGTTTTTGTACTTTGTTGTTTTTTTTTGCTCTTACATATGTCTGTTGTGGAAGATTCTTGCGTTGCGCATACTATTGTTTGCACATACATATATATATAAACATTTGTGTGTGTGTGTGTGTGTGTGTACTTATATATATATATAATATTAGTGTGCTATTTTTGAGTTTTCGTTCATCACGCTTATAGGTTCTTCGCAATGACGAACAAACATCGCTTATTGTGGATGGCGTGTCGCAGAGCAGTACAACCAAGGGCAAGGAATTTCAATTTGGAAAATTTGCCACCAATTCTGATGTCTACGTGGGCGGCATGCCAAATTGGTTGGTGATCTACCGTGAAATAGAAAATACTTTGTCTTTTCACCAAACCAATTCATTGGGGATATAAAAATGTACTCTGAAAATATGGAAGATATAGAATTCAGGCTGGTCAGTAGATGAGGATTATTAGAATTATTTTTGATTTTTTTTTTTAGGTAAAAAAATAATAAATTTGCAATGAATACGGATGCTCCTCATAAAATTTTTTTCGCATAGGTGCTTAACGTCTATTTAGATTCATTCTTAAAGGCGAGTGCACATGCACGCTATGAGTGCCCTCCATTTTCAAGCCAATTATGTTGAGTATACTAAAATATGTATTCATAGAGCACGAAAAATTGAGAGAACGTTTTTAGCTAACTTACGTTTAATCGGATAATTTTTTTCTACATTTTCCAACACCGGAAGATTGGCTCAAAAATGAAAAAGGAGTCGACTCGGGTTTGTACTCCAAGGACTTTTAAATAAGGCAATCATACCGCCTGCCTGATAACTGCAGTGTCTTTCAGGCGAAGATATTTGCCATAGATAAGGCGGCTTGTCTTATACAGGGAACGTCGGGACGACTGTGATGTCTCAAGATCCTTGTGACCGAGATTCAATAAGCTCCCTCTGCAGAATTTGTCGCAATGTGGATGAAGAGGAATCGATTTACCACTTCTTATCGAGCTAGCGTTTCCTGGTACTATTTTTGAATATATAAGTAGAAATTTGAAAGTTAGGGAGTCTCGAGCCCTTAAATTTCCCAGTTACAAAATGTGCGGTAACAACCAGCATAAGGGTATTAAATTGGGAACAAAAGAATAGCGGCTCAAAGTTCTTTATGTCAATTGTAAATTATTCACATTGTTAAAATAATAATCAGTTAAATTTTAAATTTTAAAGTTATTTATACATAAGCTTTTAGTGGAAAAATAGGCTTTATATATTTTGATTCAAGTGCAGAATCAGTCAACGTCAGGGCTGATTGTAGGATTTTGCCTCTAGACCAGCCTGCAACTGCAAATGTTATTCTAAAGCAAATATCTCTACATACATACATACATATACTCATGGATTGTTTGGTGAATATGAGAAAATTATGATGCGCACATATACATATATGTACATACACTAATATGTACAAAGTTACACCCCACTTCATTAAAATAGGCATATTTTTTCTTCATGAAAAAGCGCCCGTATATCTGGATTGAAGGACATCGGAGAACCCTCGTTTTTATCAAAGTATTTGAAAATCTGAAGTAGAAAAACACCTCGTATGGTTTGTTTTTTATGCGGCTGGTTGTTAACCAAAATATGAAAAATCTGCTTGTAATTTCGATTCGCATGCAATTGTGCGACTAATCTCTAAAGAGAGTATTCCGAGATTAGTATCAATCGGATACAATTGAGTATTAATTAATCGCAACTAAAGGGAGGCAGTTATTCCATATAAATGCATCAAAGGTCGCATGTTCCTTTGCGATTGCTTTCGCAGTCATTCCGGATTAGTCGCAATTTTTTATACCTATAGGTACAGTAGGTGTGAAGTTAAGAGAATTAAATGAAATTGTCGTTAACGATTACTTAAGTATTTGGTAGATAACAGATGAAATTTAAACTGCGGAAATTAAGTAACGGTATAACATTTTGCGTCTCCAACGCCATCTTTTCAACACCAGACACATATTTTTTGGGTAATTTTACTAATTTACATACCGGTTTGTAGCACAGGAGCTGCAAACAGGAGATAACGAAGTGACCACCCTAGGGATGCGCGATACCGATACGATATTCAAGTTATCAATATTGTTGTTCATCACAGCGGTTAATTTATATCGCAACACCTGATGCGATACGATATCGGAAACTTTTCTCTATGTTATCTAGGCTTCTGAATTGAGAATAAAATTGAGTACATAGATGGAAAATGTGTTCGTTCTCGCAAAACAGCTTTTGGCATAGTAACCATGAAGAACAAAAAAATCATAAAAATATCAAAATTTCTTAAATCAGTTTGCAATTCTCAAGAAATAGGAGGGGTAAATCAAAGTTGCTGAACTCTGGGTACTATTTTTTCAAACTGATTAAAGTGCATCTTATCCAAAGTAACTTCGTTATTGGAATTTATGCTTATTTGCCTTTTTATTACATATATGTATACGTTGTGCGCAAAAAATATATATCTTTATTAACCATTTCGGTTTCGATATTTCCGATATTCAATATAACGATATTATTTTGGTAGATATAATGGTATCGGATATTGCGAATTTAGAACATCGCGATACCGATATACCTAATCTACATTGGCGATACGCATCCGTATCCGCACATTTTGCTGATCGGTGATTTCTTCTAGCGTCGATAAAAGTGGCACGGAACAAGATGTTTGTGAATTGCTTTAAATGCCTCCATGGCAGTCTTCTTACCATGCTTTGACCGTACTATATTTGAACTAAGGATATAGTTCACAATACTAATAGTGTTAAATAGATTAAAGTAAATAGAATACTTTTGTTGGTCCAGTCTAATTATAATTAAAAAAAAAATATACATATTTACGACTACCTAAAGCCCTTGAATATGTTTTCGTAAATCAAAAAATAAGCAGATTTTTTGTTTAGTTTTATAAAAGGCCACATTCAAAACGAACTATAAAAAGATATTTACTTCCTCCTCATTAAAATTAAATACAACCGAAACTCCTCCGATGCCTACAAGTGAAGATATTTATATGTGCATCCAAATGTATGCTTGGTTTTTTGAATGAAAAAATTTACCTATACAAGTGAAGCGGTGTGTGGGTATTTATATGTAAGTGAAAGCATTTAAATTAATGGACTTCGCACTTGTACCGCATAATTTCTAATGTTTATGCATGTATTTGTGCATATCAACACATTTTTTGGTGTGTAGGTACAGCACAAAGTTGGCATTATTAGCTTTGCCAAGCGTCATCTTTGAGCCGAGGTTCCGGGGTGCCATACGCAATTTGGTATACGCCGACCAGCCAGGTGGGGCGACACGCCGTCAAGAAATGAAACAACCACGTGATATAAAGGTAAATTTTAAACAAATGTAATTGCAAAATAATGCAAGGAAAAATTATGCGCCTTGCATTTATGAAACTTTAGCTTAAGCGAAAAAAATATGTAGAGTTTTAAAAGTATAGCCAAAAGTAAGACCCAACAGTTGCTTAAAGAATATACTTCACTGCTTAATATCATATTATTGAAAAGATTGCGTCCTTTTATCCTGTTCGAGGTGTCGAGGGAACACTGTGGGTCATTGGCTCATTGCAATCGAACTGAAAAAATGTACTTGTACATATCGCTAGCTTAGAGTGAAGCGTGGCTAAGTCCATTTTTAAATATTTTCCAGAAGACGTAAAAACTTCTTATATGTAGTAATACCACATTTTGCGTATTTAAAACAAAGTAAAACTCTATACCAATCCGAAGGATTCGATCTTTAATAAAAGATTTCCCAGCTAGTGATATACATACATAATGTATTTATGTGCCATCTACATTTTCCTTCTTTGGCAAGAAGGAAAATGTTTTTAAAGTTACTCATACGCTACTAGTATTACTAGTAGTTGCAGCCAGGAGATCTTTATTTATGTGCTCAGAAAGCTGATTAATTCTATGACATTTTATTCACGTCTTTTAATTTATTCGTTATTTACAAGTTTACGTGGTGCATAATTTTTATGAAGGTTTTGAGAAATTGGCCCTTACAAGGTTAAATTGGTTAAAGCCACAGTATACAGTAAACCAACCATTGACAATACTCGGAAGCAATTTTGTCAAGGCCTTCCCTTGATAAGGTATTACAAAACAGATCAACAAAGCACATCTAAAAATCACTACGAATAGATCCCAGTGCTCCTTCCGGAGAAGTGAGTAGGCAACGTGTTAAGCAAATAAACCGACATGAAAGTGAGTATGTTTGAACGATTGTTAAAAATCACCCACCTGACAATTTTTGTTGCCGGAAAGAAATAACAAAACATCCCGCCCTCGGAACAAATTAATTGCCGGTAATATAGCCATCGTATCGATTTCCTATTACCAGTCGCTCTAAAACGTCTGCCGAAGGTAACTCGCCTGGGCGAGTCGTCTTCTTATTACCTGAGTGAGTCGTTTTCTTGACGCTTCAGGCGATATTTGGAATAATTTTATTCTTTTTAAAACTTCATTTATTTTTTATATACAAAATTGGAACTTAGAAACGGAATTAATACATTCTTTCGCACTTTATATTTTTTCAATCCTGAACTTGGTAAAAATTAGACGATTTTGGATAATACTGTTGACGCGAAATTTATAAGTTTGGGAATTTTTGATAACGTATTTATTTCAAAGTTGACATGAAAGAAATGATGTTGCCGATTTATCACCACAGCAACAAAGCGGTGAGTCGCCAATTTCTTGCCATTGACGATTGTTGCCTATTTCTCATGTTTTGCATGGTGGGTAGATTGAAATAAAAATTTGAAACACACATTTACATTTTGAGGCTGTATCTGAGTGCGCAGAAATGTTTGAGATTATCAGGAAAGCCCGGGTTCGAATCTCGTTAGATCCAACATACAATTTTTCATTTTTGTTACAAATAAGTAACACATAAAAAATACGCCCTTCTGTTAGCTGTTCTCCCGAAAGCGAAAACGCAACACTTTGCAATTGGGCCCATTTCACATAAAAAAAATAATTAAGGAAACCGTGCAGATCGTAAGGCCCTCTACATTCCAGAGAAGGTCTTCTGTAATTGCTTTTTTACTCCTTCTTTCTTCTACTGAGTATGCTTTAAGAAAAAAATAATAATAATAAAAAACATCGTCGCTGAAATAAAAAAAAGTCGTAACTAATCAAAAATTCAAAATTCAGTTTTTGATTTATATGATGGATTTCATCGAATTACAAGTCCCACATCATTTTATGACAAGAATAAAATATTTTAAGTAACGACTTTTTCCATTTCCATGCATCACAAATAAAAATGTAAATACCAGGCACTTTTGAAAGTAATGATTAATAAAAAAAAATTAGACAAAAATACACACAAAAAAATTCTCTAAACTTGTTTATTCTACTCCATACAGAAATGGCGAATTTTTTACCACTTTTTCGCAATTAACTTGAAGTTTTGAGGGTGAACAAGTCAAACGGACCTCCGATTCGAATTCACCGGGTCGAAATACATGTCGATAGGTGGATCTAGTTACAAGCACACACCACTAAAAATATGTACGTATGAGCAGCAAAGCATTTAAAGCGGAGTCTTCTAATCTTGACCTGAACTTGTTACACACAAAAGCTGCTGATCTTACGGGCTCAACACTTTTAGGCTCAACTGTCAAAAGGCAGTCATAAGCCATGCAGCATGTCGGATAAACTATAACTTTTTCGATTTGAGTAGATTGATTTAAGAAGTTGTGTAACTTTTTCTTAAAGCTCTCTGTTACGTTTACATAAGCGACGCTATGAGTAGGTCTTCTTCTTATTTGGCGCTGTAACCGCCTAAGCGATTTTGGCCGAGTCCAAAACAGCACGCCAGTCATTTCTCTTCTGTGCTAACTGACGCCAATTGAAAATGCCAAGTGAAGCCAAGTCCTTCTCCACCTGGTCTTTCCAACGCAGAGGAGGCCTTCCTCTTCCTCTGTTACCAGCATCTATGAGTAGGTACATTCATTTAAATCTTCTTCAAAGAAGGCTCAGGCTGCAATTTAAAAGTACAGTTTTAAGCTTTTTGTTAATTGCAGTCAAGATGGCATTTTACAAAAATCATACTTCAAAATTCATAAACAAGTTCTTACCACCAATTCGATATTTCAAATTTTTCTGGATTCCGGGAGTAATACAAGCAAATTCCGGTATTTTGGGGACCTCAATAACACCGGGATATCGGAATCCCGGAATCCTGGGATCCGCGGTTTGGCATCCCTAATATGTACAAACATTTTATACAGGTGACAAAAGGGCTCGTTTATCTGCATAAACCGCCTTTATTTGCATTAACTCCAGCATTATCCTCATTCAAATGTGTACGGTCGGCTGCACAAATGCATGAAAATTTCGTGCATTTGTTCGAACGTCGAGATATAATTAATTCTATATACATATTTCATAAAAGCTATGGAGCTCCCGACCATAAGAGTTGTAGAGAGTTCTACCTTCAATCTAAGTAATACTTGTTTTACCCCCTAATCGATGGGACTATTTTTCAATGTCAGCCCACGCTTATTTACTTAAAGTGTGCTCGGAACCCGGTATGACTTATGTAGGAAATCCATCCGGTCACAATCGTTATTTTATTTTATGAGACTTGACAATATTTTCCACTATAAGAAAGTATTAAAATTGGATTTCATTTGGGTTAACGAAAACGACAGCTGTAAAATAATATTAACCAACACATTCCAACAAATTGCCAATTAAGCATATTTACATTTCTTGTTTTGTCTGTTTGGATTACTGTATACGGTGGATAAAAGTACTTATACTTAAGTACTTACTTTACAACATTCTTTATAATCGAATTGATTTCAGAAACCATGTATATTTCTCACTTTTTTAAAAGATACTAAAATTTCTCGGAAATTTAAAGCGTTTTCTTTTCTACAAAAAACGTTGCCTTTTCATTGCCCTCTCCTTAGAGTTTGTTCGTAGAGGGCGCTGAAAAGCCAATATTTTTCGGTAGAAAAGAAAACGGCGTTAATTGCATCGGAAATTCCTATTTTTTTCTAAGATATAAATGGTTTGAGTTTGGATTATTTACCGGAATTTGCCACATTCTTTGAGACATCGAAACTAAAAATATAAATATATCTTAAAAAATTTTTTCGACCATATACTGATATACATACATTCATGGACAAAAGAATAAGTGCAGAATCATTATGATATTGTTTGCTTATGTTTATTGATTAATTTTTAATAATTTTAATTTAAAATATAGTGCGATCTATAACATATAGTAAAGCTTACATAAAGTACATAAAAATTAATGAAATTGCCAAAAATTTTTAAATCTTTTTATTCGGACTTTTTTGTCGAAGATGTTGAGCATGTGTTTCCACATACAAACAAATTTTGTTATGCTCATTTTCTAAAAATTCTGAATAAAAATATTATTAATAAGCAAAATTTCCAAACAATATCATATTGAATTTTGCAAAGATTCTTTTTTCCATGGGTGTATTTCCTTATTGTGCAAAAAATTATAGAAAAGGTTTTAGCTAGGTGTACGATTTGTAAATGATCCGTATGAATTTAAAACGAACCATTTAATTGAAATTTTCTTGCTTCCTTCCTAGTGTGGTGACGGTCCGTGTGACAATGGTGAAATGCCAAAGGAGAAAGTGATCAGGGTAGGCAACTAATAGCCCATTTCTATTTCTACTGAGGCTTAACTGCAGTTTTACCGGTTAAACTTTTTTTTGTTACTCAAGCAAGCTCATAGAAGAAATCCTTGGGCGCCACGTCCTCCTCTTCCGTCGAGGCGTTGGCGAAAATGAGCGAAATATTTAAGAATGTCGCTTTCATACGGATTGTGGCTAGACTCTCCTCCACCGGGGTGAACGAAAGTACTCGGTGTAGGAGTCTCTGTCCCACCATATGTATGTATATCCAGTACCGAATTTGCGCTGTAGTATACATCGCAATTACCTACGGGTTCCTTGCTTTGCCCAGTCCATCGCATTGCCTAGATGGCCGTGATGTCAACTTTTCTCTTCGCGAGGACATCAAACAGCCGGGCAGTGGCACCTTTCCCATTAAGCTTTCGGACATTGCAGATGCACGCACTCAAATCTTCGTCCTTTAAACGTTTGCCTTGGTCGTCATTAAAAGAAGAGGGTCCAATCCGAAGCTTGTTGTTAGTTTTATTTGAGAAGGTTTCTTGCCTTCTCAACTTTAGTTCGCTTCTAAACGCTTGTGTGGCTGCTACCCAGAGGATACACGTGGATATATGTAAATATCCGGAGGTCGTGAGCTGCTTGAACCGTACCCAAAATAATCTTTTCGGGCCAGCCAAAATCTTTCTCCAGTTACATGGACTTCCGCGCAATGAACCATCCATATGTTCTACATAATTTTGAGTTTTAAAGTCTAAATTTCATATCAAGGACGAAGTATTTATAGATACATATGTATATGCTCATCATTAGAAAATAAAATCTGCTATAAGAAAACTCCGAAACGCGATACTTGAAGATGATTTCCTCGAATATCGGGCTCTTTACTGCAGTTAAGACTTCAGTGGAACTAGCCTATAAGAAAAAATTAAGTGTAATACACGTTAGAAGTTTTATATAAGATACTTAATATCTACTATTTGCTATACACTTCCCACACGAATTCAGGGTGTACGCGGCGGCAATACCACAGATGCTTGCGAACGAAGCGATCCTTGCCAACACGGTGGTATTTGTATCTCAACAGATTCAGGACCAATATGTGAGTGCCGAAATCTCGAATATGATGGACAATATTGTGAAAAAGGTAAGCCGAATATTTAATTTACATATCGACACCTGAGTTGAAGATCGACCTATTTTGGCAGCCAGTTCGAAAACGCCCTATCGAAGAAAACTTTTCAACAACGCCCTATTTCAGAATTTGGTTGAAGAACACCCCATCTCAGAATTCAAAGGTTCAAAATGGCTATATCTCAGCACATTTTCAATACATTTTCATTTGAGATAGGGAGTTTTTGAACCGAATTCTGGGAGTAGGGTGTTCTTGAGAAGTTTTCTGAGACAGGGCGTTTACGAACTGGCTACCGAGTAAGGTCGATCTTCCACTCAGCCCTCGATATAAAGTGTGTGCATTTGTAAATGCACCTTTCTTCATTTCGTTACAGAGAAAGCACCATCAGAAGCAACATTTCGCGGTCAACAGTTCCTGTCTTATGATCTTGGCCAAACTAGTGCTGAGCCAATTGTGAGCGCTCAGGATGCTATTACGCTATACTTTCGTACTCGCCAACCCAATGGCTTACTATTCTACACAGGTATGTGATTCGCCAGCTTAAAGTGGGTAGCGCTTTATTAAATTGAAATGTACATATGTATCTAAACAATGCATTTGTTGCTTAACTAACAGGGCACGGTACTGATTACTTGAATTTGGCGCTACGTGATGGCGGCGTTTCACTAACCATGGGTTTGGCTAACGGCAAGCAAGAAATGCATATTAAGCCATCTAAAGTACGCTTCGATGATCATCAGTGGCACAAAGTGACAGTGCATCGACGAATTCAGGAGATATCATCGATAACAAGCTTCTGCAGAGTAAGTGTAATTGCATAGTGAATGTTAACTAAGTTAATTGTTATGTATTATTCTTTTAATTTTTATTTCAATTTGCTTTATTTATTTTATTTTTGCAACATAGTTGGTGACCGTAGTCGACGATGTTTACACCGATCACTCGCACATAGCCGGCAAATTTACTATGCTTTCCTCATCTCGCGTTTACGTTGGTGGCGCAGTCAATCCGCGCGCCTTGCTCGGTGCTCGGGTGCACAATAATTTTGTCGGCTGTCTGCGTAAGGTTAGTTAGTGCGCGCAATTATGTTAAATTTTTATTTACAAAATAACACACGAAATCTCTAAACCTGAAAGGTTGAATTCTCTGCTGATACACTGCTATTGAATCTCATCGATTTGGCTAAGAGCGGCTCGAAATTAATCCAAGTTGCTGGAAATGTCGATTATCAATGTCCAATTGGCGATCCGCAGGATCCAGTTACATTTACGACGCGCGAGTCGCATTTGGTATGATATATATATTTTTGTATTATTTCATAAATATGCACTTGAACGCTCGAAAATGTACAGGTCTTACCGCCATGGGAGACTGGCAAGCAAAGTTCCATCTCATATAAATTTCGGACAAAGGAGCCTAATGGATTGATAATAATGGCTACGGGATCTAAACAGCCGCGCTCAAAAAATGTAAGTAATCATTTTTATAGTTAGGTATGTATGTAACTACCAGCCTTAAGTCAGTGTACTTTTGGATTGAAAATAATAAGTAATGTCCATTAATTATCTGAGAAATGGCTAACGACTAAGTTGGTAGTAATATGTATTTCATCAGACCCTCTTCTGTGCCGATTTTAAACATTGGTAAATACATACATATGTACATGTGTGGCATTTATTACAGACATTTTAAAATCATTATCCTTGAAATTATGGTGGCAGTTGCTGTTTCACGCCGCGCTGTTTTTGAACTGAAAATAGTTATTAATACTTTTTCCTTGTTAATTTCTACGGGCCTGCCACCCGAAATTCGCTGTTGAGAATTAATATTATTGATGTGTACTGATGTGCGGCCACTGTGGTGTAGTGGTAAGCAGTGCACGCCTTCACTCCGCAGCGCCTGGGTTCAAGCCCTGGTTAAAGCAACATCGCAAAAAAATGTAGAAAGAAGGTTTTTTCTTAACAGCGGTCACCCCTCGGCAGGCAATGGCAAACCTCCGAGTGTATTTCTGCCATGAAAAACATATTCTCATAAAAATACAATCGCCGTTCGGAGTCGGCGGAAAATTGTAGGTCCCTTCGCTTTGTGTGACAACATCAAGGCGCACACCACAAATCGGAGGAGAAGCTCGGCCAAACACTATCTATTATATTGTTATTAAATATCTAAGCTCTCGGTATGGGTAAGATTTGCGTTAAGCCAGCAAAAAATTTTAAACTGCTTCTTGTGTAGCCCAGTTGGAAATCTGTAATTGTTTCTTATTGGAAAAAAAAGTTCTTTCCTTTTATTTTCTGATGTTAGACGGACTCGGGCTCGATCCCAGACCCTGCGGAATGGTAAAAGGCACTTCTAACCACCACAGCGGCCACAACAGTATATTTCATGTTAGTTTTAGGAGTAATTTATGACTATTTCGGAGTAGCTCAAGACCAATTTGAGTCTACTCCAGCAATATTTCTGGACTAATTCGGGATCTTTTTGGAACTAACTCAGGCCTATTTCGGGAATAGTTCTGGGATATTTTAGGCCCAGTTTGTGATCATTTGGGAAGTAATGAGGAACTATTTAGCGACTGGTTCAAAACTATTTCGGGACCGTTTAGGGGTAGTTCACTACTATTTCAAGACCATTTCGGGACTATTTCAGAAAAATGTCTTGACTAGTTTGGGATTATTTAGGGACCGTTTCAAGATTTGTTCGAGATCCTTTCTGTACAAGTTCGCGACTTTTTCAGAACCACTACTTTAGGTAAATTTTGGGACAAGTTTGGAATCATTTCGGTGTTATTCGAATATTGATCCCGAAATATTCCTGCACTATTCCCGCAGTTGTTATGTAAAAGTCGTGTACTAGGCACGACATTAAATCTGATAAGTACTTGGTACTCACGCCTTTTTTTATTCCAAGAACTTGTCTTCCATTTCTTTAGTATGTTAATAAATTGAGCGTAACAGGCACTTAATGAGCTATACATCGCCAGTTCGGTGCCGATGTCGATCTCGCATTGCCCTGGCATCCAACATAGTTCTCCCCTGTTTCTCACTGCCAATAGTTTGAGAATGTCAAAACACCTCTTGATGAGCCTGAAAGTTATGGCCGCTTGAGTGCCTGGAAAACTCTAATCGAGCCTTTCAATCCCTTTGGATGGTTTAATCTGGTCGATATTAATAGTGACTCGGATTCTGGGACTTTTGTGAAAGCACATATCTGGGGCCCCGATGGAAAAGTTCTCATTGACCTGGTGACAGCTTGTTTGTAATGCATAAGCACTACCTTTCGCGTGTGTAATTTGGTAAGGAATTTTATCCGCGTCAGCTGGAAGTTAAACCACTTATAACTAAGTAGTTTGGGATTGTCTGTATATATGTAAAACCCAACTCTTCGTCTCTTTTTATTCAGCACTACGTGCGCTGGTTTTGTTTTGATATCAACAGCCAACAGACTATCTTATTTTCTAAGTTCTGCCAGAACCCTCTTCATTTATTCCTTCCATTGTGTTCGTGGACGCCTTTGCTTTTCTTGACCACTCATGGCTGTCCAGTGGAAAGAGTCGATTAGGCCAGTTCAATTATTGTTTATGAAATTACAAAGCTCACACATTTCATCGATTTGTTCTAGCCTGTCGCCCACGCGAAAACTTTTACAAATATTGTTCTCTAGAAAGCCCCCAAAGCCTTTTCAACTTTGTTTTGGCAAATTGACGATTTCGTATTCGCCGGCAGAATGCTTTGTTTTTCAATAGCCTACCGATGGAAGATCAAAACTAAATTGACTTAGAAATTGTGAGCATGGTAAATTCCGGTTACCCTTTAACTAAAGTTAGGGAATGAGTGTGGGCTTCAGGCTCTTTTCATGGGTATTTGGTTAGAGACTCTATAGTTATGGGAATCAGTCTATTATTGGATTTGAACTGCTTAACAAATACACAAAATTATGCTTGGACGATACTCTTACGCTTTCGAGTGGATTTTCAATGTCTGGTTATTAGGGAGCCTCACCAAAAGTAGGTTTGCGGTTTTGTTGATAAACTTTTTAAAATTTCTAGCAAACGAGATTTTCGGAGGTACTTTCAAATTGGTACAGCCCACGTAAATTTTAATATTTTTCAGAAATTCTGTAGGTGGAAGTAATGATTTAGAAGTAGTGATGACGGATATAATCTTTTCCACTTAACTGAAAAAATTGTAAATGTCCAAATACAGATTTCCTTCACCCAAAATCATTTTTTTTGTATATAGTAGACAAGTTATTCAAAAACAAAATTGGATGATTAACTTTGCGCCACCTTGTATAATATAATTCCAATGGAAAACAGTACCAATATTTTTTTTTGGATGAATGGATATACATACATATGTATATTTATACTGTATGTATGTATGTATGTATATATGTACGTATACATATAATTATTTAAAAAGTTGCTCATAAAATCTAAAAAACATCAAGTAGTGAGTTCCGCCTTTGTAGCGAATGTTTGCCAAATTAAGTACATTACTATATCGAGGTTGCATGTTTCAAACAATTAAATTCATTATTCACCTTTGGCACTTACTTCCTATTGCCGTCGTGCACAATAAAGTTTACTCGCTAATGCATTGTTTACTATTGTAATTAATAAATAATTAAATTTTACAGGCCGTACTATTTGCCATTGAGTTATTGAATGGACACATTTACATACACTTAGATCTGGGTTCGGGAGCGGCGAAAGTGCGTGCGTCCCGGCGACGCGTAGACGATGGCGATTGGCATGACTTGATTTTGCGGCGAAACGGACGCGATGCAAAGGTAAGCGTGGACGGAGTTTGGAATGAATTCCGCACACCGGGCGATGGTACGATATTGGAATTAGACGGCCATATGTATGTGGGTGGTACGGGTCCAGCGTATAATAATATCGCATGGCCACCGGCTATATGGACGGCAACATTGCGACAAGGATTTGTCGGTTGTTTGCGTGACTTGGTGTTAAGCGGCAAGGCGATCGATATTGCAGCATTCGCACGATTACAGGATTCAGGTATGTACACTTGCAACTATATAAATATGTATGTAAGTAAGTATATGTACTCATATGCCATATAAGTGGTGTATTGTGGTCAACGCGTTATTTATATGAGAGAGAGCACTTAAAAATTGCTTTGGGCATTGTTAGCAAATGGAACAAAATTATTTATGCAAATAGATTAAGGTTGCCATTTATTTTTTGTTTTTTTTTTTTAGTGTTGAGGCATAAAAATGCCAGTTTACTAGTGGAATTGCGTTTGGAAAGTGGGTTTATAATGCAGCGAAATTGCTCTCGATTTTTTATAATTGATGCATGAATTACAGTGCTCCAAAGTTATGCGGTAACATACATAAAAACATATTATGACGAATTGATAACCTGCTCCTTTTTTTGAAGTCGGTTAAAGAGCGAATATATGTGCCTGAAACCAAATTTTACTACTTAAAGTACTTTATTCTTACCTTAGTTTTTTATTCTTATTATTATTATTTTTTATTATTATGGTACACACTATAATTTCGCCACCAAGAAAAACATGCATTGTACCATATCATAAAATATACAGTAAATTTTTGGCGTAACTATAGGGATTTTAGCTATAATATTTCACCAGGTGTTGCGTTGTGGAGTGTAGAACAAATTTGCATCAAAAGGTTAAATTCGAAAAAAATGCCACATACGATTTTTTCGAGCAAAGGAGTCTATATGATAAACACGAGCCCAGTAATGACATTTTGGAAAGTCTATAAAGTGTTGATTTAATACACTTCTGAAGAAGGACGAAATACATGAGTGCAAAGAGCTTGAAAATTGAAATAATTGCGGCGATCTAGTGGCGCTACCAAGAATATATCAACCTAAATATTGAAGGAAACACCCGTTGAATAGTTTCAGCACCGAAACCTGTGGAGAAGATGAACCCAACCTTTGAGTTGACGTCGGATAAAAAACAAGAAATCTGCAAAAGGAAATGGCAGCTATTCAATTAAGACGGGAGCAGTTGACAAGTTGAATTCATCAACTTTTATGCAAATTATGGTAGAAATAATGCATGCACAATGACTGGATTTTAGGAGCGAAGTGCTCAATTCACAGGAAAAGGGACCTTGCTTTATGCGGCAACTACCGTGGGATCAGATTTTTAATCGTCACATAATAAAATTGTCTCGAGCGTGAACGAGAGGAGATAATTGACACACACCATAATCGACAGTACGAAAAGAAGTTGCCTATACGCCACGATGTCTGAATTTGGTATCCCCGCGAAACTGATAAGGCTGCTGTGGAAGATCGACCTATCTCAGCAGCCAGTTCGAAAACACCCTATCTCAAAAGACTTTTCAGGAACGCCCTATTTCGAAATTTGGTTGAAGAACGCCCTATTTCAGAACTCGTTTCAAAAACACCATATCTCAGCACATTTTCAATACATTTTGAAGTGAGATAGGGCGTTTTTGAACCGAATTCTGAGATAGGGCGTTCTTCAACCAAATTTCGATATTTCGTTTTTCAATAAAAATCTGAAATAGGGCGTTCTTGAAAAGTTTTTTGAGATAGGGCGTTTTCGAACTGGCTGCCGAGATAGGTCGATCTTCCACTCAGCAGTCGATATACTCGTAGTTGCGTATGTAACGTATACGTCCCGTAGCACCATACATAATCATCTAACACGTTTATTAGAACGCCTTAACTTAAAAGTCACATTAGTGGTATTCATCTAAGCCGATAACTTTATCAAGCAGATATTCTTATAAATTTAAGCACTTTGTTACATGAACGCCCCTCTCTCTGCTCTCCTTTCGCACACACTTGCAAAAATAGTCGTATTTGCTTTGGTTATCGAGCTCAGTATCAGTAATTTTATACAACTAGCACGAGGATCAAGAAATTTTAGAAATGACCTCACTAAATTGGAAAAAATTATATTTATACGAGATTTATTTGAAGCAAGTTAAAAGAAACAATGGCAGAATGTATGTTTGTTTATGAATTCATTTGTCACTGCTACCAAACTCTGCGGCTAAATTATCAGTGAATAAAACAAAACGGATCCCGATTATAGCCCTAGAGTTGCGAAAGAGTTGCATTGGCTTCAGTTTATCAAGTTTATTCAGTAAAATCGCTGAAGAAATTTATCAGAAATGTGTAAACCAGTTTCCTTACAAATTTTGACAGTTAATTTATAAGGTTTACACAATTATAGTTTTTACGGTTTATAATGCATTTATAGGTTTGATGAATACCCTTATTATTTAAAAGTAATTTAATATTGGCGTGGAAAATTTTTACACAGTATTCCTTATTCACATATATATACTTATATTACTTTCTTCATGTTTGTACATACTTATAGAACAATTTTAGAATGAATTTCGAGTTTGCCAATAAAAATTGTAAAAATGGAATTATAGTCCCTCAAGTCATAGTCTTCTTTTACTCAATGCAATTTTTTTTCATTTTCACTAGTTTTATTACACTAGATTCGTTCGTTTTGGCAAGAAGAACATTTTGACCGTTTAATTTTAATATTCTGAAGTATCGAAAAATTATTGAAATTAAAAAAAACTTAAAATTTCAAAAATTACTAAATTGCTGCGACAGATATTCTGCATGCTGGCATTTTTTTTTAATTTCGTGGTACACGACCTTCACAGAAACTTCACAGATATATTGTATTTGATGCCAACGTCCATTTTAAAACTTATGAAAGTTATGAAACCAACTCGGCTACGACGGTCATCTTGTGTAAAAAATTCTAAAATAAGGGCTATGAGCAACTTCTGCAAGCATATTAAAGAGGTTGTCAAGAAACCAAAAATATATAGTTTCAAAATAGATTAATATTAATATTAATAACTTCATTCGATAAACCTAATGTGAATATTAGTTAATATATACTTTAACCTAACTTTATAAATTTTATCACACACCTTTAGCGTCGGTGAAGCCATCATGTCACGTACAGGCCAACGTATGTACTGGCAATCCCTGCCTCAATGGAGGCACCTGCATAGAGGGCTGGAATAGACCAATTTGTGACTGCACTGCTACACTGTACGCTGGACCGACATGTGGACGCGAGTTGGCTACGCTTGCATTCAACGGCAGTCAGCACATGACCGTTTGGCTGGGTAACGGACAAGGCACCAAAACTCAAACTGAAGAGCTTATTATACGTTTCAAGACATCGCGCCCCACCGGTCTAATACTTTTGACAAGCGCCGAATCAAATTCACCAGATCGGCTGGAGATTGCATTGGTGGCCGGCCGTGTGCGTGCCAGTGTGCGTTTGAGTGATCGTGAAAAGGTAATTACATAAAACCCCCCCAAAAAAAAATTGCACAATTTTTATGCACAGTGTGGCTAAACACATCAAGTGGATCAAATAACATTTTCTCTCATTTGTGTGGCCTATAGAATTTGCTTGCTGGTCAGTCGGTTTTGAATGACAACAACTGGCACACAATACGGTTCTCGCGACGTGCCTCCAATCTACGGCTGCAAGTTGACGGGGTTCCCCC